ACAAACTAGGTTTTTTAGCTAATTTTTGAGTTTATCAAAATTAAGAAGATAATATTTACATATGTACACCTTCCTTCAGCCAGTCACTAGTATTTCCCTGGATTGTGCTGGATTTCAGGGGAATACCAACGAAATTGATGACTCTGCCTTAAAGAGATTTTATAGTACTGGTGAAAGCAACATAAAACTCATGGTCTGTTAAAGTCAACTAGGTGCTACGTGAATTTGATAAGCTGTGTGTTCTCCATCCTTCCTTCATGGAAATTAATCGCACACCAGCCCTGGCAGTTCACTTGGGTAAGGCGCCCAGTGTTGCTTACTTTTTTACCCTCCGACCACAGAATAAATCTGTGGAGTAGGGGTGCTCTGATATAATACAGAGTTATTATTTTCTATAAAGCTATTTGACCTACATAACAGGAATCCTCAATAAATACTGAATTGATTCTGTGTCTAATCCTTATAGAAAACATTCTTAAGCCTATTTAGCTAAGCAGATTATAGTCATATAAAGTTTGTGGTTTTTTTTCATAGGAAAAGACAGATAAATAGCACCATCTGACTAACTTAGTCTCCAGGTTTAGCTACTGCCTTGAATAAACTCAGGAGAGAGTTAGGCAATTCTATTGTGCAAGATAATTATTTGTTAGGTTATAAAAGATTGGTCGTTGAACTGCAAATATCAGTTTGTGATACTTGTAACCTATGGATGAAAAAACTCATTTTTTAATGATCAGTATCCTAGATTTCTCTTTGGAAAACAATCCAGATGGAGGCATCTCCAATAATACCTGATGTGTATTGAATGCTTACTGTGTGCCAGGCACTGGTCTAACAGCTTTATACGTATTAACTCATTTAATCCTCTATACAATAACCATGATGTTATTATCCCCAATTTACAGATGAGGAAATTGAGGCCCAGAAGCTAAATAATTTGCACAGCATTACACCACCACTAGACGGTAAAGCTTGTCTGGCTACAGAGCCGATTTTGGAACACTTTGCTTTCTTACAGCCTCCTGGGGCATTTTCAATACGGTGCCTATGGCACCTCAGATACAGTCTATCCAAAACATGTTCATTATCATTTTCTTCCTGAAATTAGCCTTCCGTCTTGACTTCCCTATTTCTTTCAGCCCTATATTTGTATTTATTCTTATTAACACCCGGTTATTCTGCAAATAGTGTAACATGAAAGAAAAAAATCCTACATTGGGAGCCATAAATCTCAAGATTCTGGCTCTCACTAACAGTATGACTTCAGGGCTTTGGATAATCTCAGAAAGCCTAACTTCCTCATCTGTTAAGTAAGGTCTCTTTCCTGCTCAATAATTCCATGTACCAGGGTATCTTGATGGTAAAGTTTATAAAATATATTTAAAAATTAATGACCAGTAAAATAAAAGAGCAAAGAAACATTTTTTTAAAAAAGCAATTTGTACCAGAAGAATTTTTATTCTGACCACTCAATAATATGATTTTATATGATAATTTTATAACAACAACAAAAAACTTGAAAGAAGTGTTCAAAATTTTAAAATTCCTATGCAAATTATGGCACACCCACACAATAAAATATGATGTCACAGTTCTAAGCTATGCTTTTAAGAGTTTTGAAAGACATGGGGAAATGCTTCAACGTTAAGCATACAAAAGGAACTCTAATTAAAATGTCTCCGCCTAAAACTGCACTGTGTACCTGTGCATTCTCAAGTTCAATTTTCTAACATCTGGCTGCTTCCTTTCCTGCTTCTCCTCTTTCTCCAAGTTCTGGGTTAATCAAATTTAAGAATCATAAGTATAGTGATTCCTTTTGTATTTAGGAAGCTTGCCAGCTACCACAATCTACAGATACCATTAAAAGATGAGGGTCAACAAAGACAGCATCTCACAAAGGAACTGTAACCACCACTCCAGGGGGCATGATGCAGTTTCCCTCTGGGAATTCAACAGACCAAATAAGACTGAGATGAAATTTGCCTAAGAATAAATCACAAATTGAGACAAGCAACAATTACGCTGCCTGCTATCAACCACATGCCATTAAAAACTATTTCATCTGAAAGTACTGTGCCTTTAAGTGAGCAAAACAAATTCTACAGGAAGAACAATTGCAGAATAATGCAAACTTACGAGATAACTATAAAATCAAGTGAAAGAAAGGCAAATGAACAATGTCAGCACAGAGCATCAGAGGACTTATAATAAAAACAAATCTCCACCAAGCTGGATTGTTGCTGTTGCAGAGGCTTGTGGAAGATCTTTGCTGTCTTGTATATTTGGAGATATTTTTCCTTTTAATCACTTTTCCAAACATGAAGCCCCTCATACAAAAGATAGCAATGAGCTAATGCTTGAGAAAGATGTCAACACTTTACTCAGCCCACGCATGAAGTCTTCCTTGTCATTCTGTCTCTGTATTCTTTCTACGCAATAGACTATTGTTTGTCAACATGGTCTTTGTTTAAGAACTATTTACATAAGTGAAAAAAAATCTTTGGCTCTCAAGAAAGAACTCTACATTACAACGTGAATTTTTAGAATCACTTCTATAACTACAAATATAACTAACATTCACAGTGTGTCATTTAAATTTTCTATGCATTTGTATAAGCAATAAAAGCTTGCTTTTCCCCACAGCAATATATTAATAATAAAAAATGCCTTATAGCTTAAACTTAGAGTTACCTATACTGCAACTGGTAATATTAAATAGGCTACTACTATAACCTTAAAGTTCTTAATATTTTTGGCAAAGACATAGGTTTCTTAGTAACTAACATGAACACCAGTTAGCACATCACTGATTACACAATTGATAACCCCGTAAATACACATATACACATATTAGAGTGTTTTAAAATATGAAATTCATGGATACAGCTAACTAAATAGAAGTTCTGGATAGAGGAACAGTGTTTAATGATCTCACCACCAAATGCCAGGTTTATTTGAATGTTTAGTAACATCTTTCAGCTAGAACAGTCCCTAATTAGACTGACCTTGATAGTATATTGTAGACTGACTATGAGCGCTAACTGCTTTACAGACACTAACTCCATGCATCAGGAAATATGTAACAGATGAGGAAACTGCAACTCAGAGTTATTCTGTAACTTTTCTCATCTCCAAAAGTAAGACTCAAATCCAGGCCATTCTGAGTACAGGGCACATGCTCATAATCTTATGCTATGCTGACTCCAACAGCAACACCTGGAAATTGCAAGAAAATTGGCCTTGAAATTGCTGGTCAGAATACTTTAAAAATCTAATCTCAAAAATGTAATGATTAATAACGGTTTTCCCAAAAGAACTGGTTGGCCCTATTCCTGACTGACCCAAGGAAAATGATCATACCAGTAATCTTAATACCACCATTAATTATTAGCCCTATGGGCCCAGCATTTGCCATACTTGTTCCTGTCCTACACATGAACTGTGAAATAGCAGTTAGGTCCCAGAATCAGGTACAGGGGAAGAATGTAACTTCACAATGGAGGATCAGGCTGATGCCACCTTACCCAGAACTCAATCTTAGCCTCAACAGCGAGGTAAACCAGAGCTGCTTTGTGACTCCTGATGAGATGCAAGATGAGAACACTTCACCTGCGATGATTTCCAGCCAAAATACCTGCTTTGATCTAACCAAGTCTTTGGACCTAGCCTCCAATTTCAGGAACTGCAAGGACAAGAGGACTAAACTAAATGACACGAGGGGGAAGAAATGAGACAAATCCAGAGGGTAGGATATTCTCCAGAACAACTGGCTTGGACTCTTCAACAAGTCAGTGTAATGAAAAACAAGAGGCTGTTCTAGATTAAAAGAGACTTCAGGGACATAACATCCAGATGCACTGCATGGCCCTGCACTAAATTCTGCTTTGGACAAACCATCTGTTAAGGATATTGTAAGGCAACTATGGGAACTTGAATATGATGTGGTACTAGACAATGTCAAGAAAGATTAACAATTGCATTAGTTGTGATAATGATCATTTGGCTATGCAGGACAATGTTCTTATTTTTAAGAGATGCATACTGACGTATTTAGAGGTAACATGTTAAAATGCCCAAATTTTAATTTAAAATACCTCAATATAAACAGACAGTTTTGAAAAAGAGGAGGGTCAGTTGCAAAAACAATTGCAAAAAAATGAGTATAAATGGTTCAAGGATCAAAAACCATGCTCCAACGTCAAGGATTATGCTTAACTGGACAAAATGATACATGGACAGAGAAGCTGTAATCTCAAAAGGCCTCCCAGCCCCCTCATCCCCCTCATTCAAAGTGCTAAATAAAGAAAATTTCAAATATAAAGTAAAATACCAACTTTTAAAAGATCCCCTGATATAATTTTAGAGAAACTTTTAGGCTTGTTATACCAATGTTTAGAACCACTAAAGAGAGAGATTAAAGGATCTGAAATTATAACATACTATTCCAGAATAATCACAACTGAGGCAATATGAATTTTGTTCATACTGCTATCTTTATGGCGCATGCCTCATTTCCATATCCTACATGGGAATGATTTCCTTTGTACATTAATAAACATCCTTCGTTCTAAGCACATTCCTTACAAATAAGGAAGCAAAGGTCAAAAGTTTAGACAATATTTGAGGGAGAGGAACTGAACTTCAGTTAAAGCCTAACAGCTCGTTTCGTAATATGACTCTGATAAGTCGCCGTGGCTGACAGTGCTGGTCGTATTACCTGGGAGTAACGTAAAGGCTCCTAACGAAAAGTAGTGAAAGGTTTAGATTCTTAGGGATATAAAATCATAAAATCAATCAAATTCAGATACAAATAGGTTAGACCTACAGAGTACACATAAGTTCTCCTCAGGGAGCCTACAGCCTAGTACAGAAATCAAAAGGTGGCTTTTTCTATTTGTTCAAGGAAGTGTGCAATTTAAACACACAGCACCTGCCTTTGGGTATGGAAATCATAGATTCAAAACTGTAAGCAAAACGAAACAAGAACAATAAAAACAAACCTCAGGCCCAGCTGCCTGCAGACCACTTCGGCGTCGGCGTCATCCCATTGGTCGTCACAGACCGTGCCCCACTGACCAGCATGGTAGAGCTCCACTCGGCCTTCGTGCACGCTACTCCCACCAGCGAGACGTATGGCGGGGAAGGCGGGGCCTGTGCAATGCGAAATGAAGGACAAATTATACCTACACATTTACAGGGAGTGATATGATTAGGTATATTCTATTTCTTTGCCATTCTCAATAATTAATTAATATTTATTAAGCCATTTCAGTGATATAGACATACACACACATATCTAATATATTTTATGATAACCTTGACCAATTAAAATACTCCCACTGATTTACATTCATACAAATAGCTCTTAAGATGAAGTAGTCTAAGTTCACTTTTCCCCAACAACCTCAGAAACCAGAAAAGACACACTTAAAACTGCAGTTTAAACAAATGTTGGAGAGGATGTGGAGAAACAGGAACCCTGATACGCAGCTGATGGGAATGCAAACTGGTGCAGCCTCTATGGAAAACGGTATGGAGATTCCTCAAAGAATTAAAAATAGAGATGCCCTATGATCCAGCCATCCCACTACTGGGAATCAATCCAATGAACCTGAAATCAACAATCCAAAGAGGCTTATGCACCCCTATGTTCATTGCAGCATTATTCACCATAGCCAAGAAGTGGAAGCAACCTAAGTGTCCCTCGACTGACAACTAGATCAAGAAAATGTGGTATATATATATATATACAATGGAATACTACTCAGCCATAAAAAAAGACAAAATAGTCCCATTTGCAACAACATGGATGGGCCTGGAGGATATTATGTTAAGTGAAGTAAGCCAGAAGGAGAAAGACAAACACCGTATGATCTCACTCATATGTAGAATATAAACAAACACATGGACAGAGAAAACTGTATTGTGGTTACCAGGGGCAATGGGGGTGGTGGGTGGGGGGTGGGCACAAGGGGTAAAGGGAGACATATATATGGTGATGGACAAACAAAAAATGTACAACCCAAAATTTCACAATGTTAAAAACTATTAAAACATCAATAAAAAAAAAACTGCAGTTTACGAGAAACTCATTTGATTTTTATGGTATCGTGGTAGTGACATTGATTTTTTTTTTATTTACAGTAATTTGAGCATTACCAACATGTAATTATGAATGGCACTAATGTCTGTAACATACTTGTCTTCAGTACAGAAATATTTTTATATTTGTAGAAATCAAGTCAAAGTTAATATTTAACACATTATACAAGTTGGTAGACATCATGGCCAGTACCTTCAAGAAACAATATTGAAAATTCATTAGGTATGAATCAGTTCATATTCATCTCCTCTGTTAGGAACCACCAAAGGCTTCCCATTGCAAATTCCTTACTGTAGTCTACGATGCCCTGATCTACCCCTCGTCAGTCTCCGAACTTCTCTTTCACTACTCCTGGCCTCATTCACTAGGCTGTAGCTACAATGCCCTCTTCCGTCTGCCCAAAAACGCTTGAAGCTGGATACCACCTCAGGGTCTGTACGCCTGCTGTTCCTTCTGCTTGGAATCATGTTCCCACAGATCTTCACATGGCTGCCTCCCTCTGCTCATTCAGTTCTCAACTCTGAAATGTTCTTTCTTCAGGAGGCCTACCCTGGCTACCCCAGCGCATGCAGCACCCTAAGGCACTTTCTGCCACATTGCCTAATTTGTCTTCCCCAGAATATTTACTTTTATCTAAAATTGTCGTTAATTTATTGGTTTATTGTTTATTGACATGTCAGTTGTCTGCCTTCTCTCAACTGAGGACAGAGAAAGTACCTTTCCCTGTGTACTTCAGGTACCCAGCATAGAGAAGGCACGTAATAAATATTTGTTGACTGATTGAACTGACAAGCGATAGCCAAAAGTCTAGAAAGGATATCCCAAACAAGGAAAAATAATTAGCAATATCCACTCATCAATTTTGTTTAATAAACAGATATTAGGCATCTGCAGTGCGCAAGGTGTCGTAGCAGGTGCCGCAGGGCATTAAAGGGGCACTAGACAGACCCTACCCTCCAGAAGTTCACTGCCTAAGGACGTGGACAAAATGAGTACAGACAAGAGATTGTCAAGAAGACCCTGCAGGGGTTCAGAAGCACTGGAGCTGGCTCCCCACTGGGGGGAGTTAGGGAATCTCTTCTAAGAAGGTATCTGAAGAGGGCCAAGATGGATGGATGGGATTTAAGAAGCACAAAGTTTGGGAAAAAGTAAGGCAGTCTAATTTTTCTGGAATAAAGGCTGTAAAATGGTAAAAGGTTCAGAACAGGCTGAGTCCCCACTAGGGAGTTTAGTTGCACCTTTTGCCAAATGTTAATCATTTATCCCCATGAAATATGCTTCAAATTCCTCCACAGTGTAAGTGGCTGTCAGTAAATGGTATTTGGATATTCATATTTATATTCAAATATCATACTTGAGTTTTGCAGCAGAGATTCAGATCAGTGAATATTTGCGTATACTCATGTTCTAATATTTCTTTTTTTTTTTTTTGTGAGGAAGATCAACCCTGAGCTAACATCCATGCCAATCCTCCTCTTTTTGCTGAGGAAGACTGGCCCTGAGCTAACATCTATTGCCAATCTTCCTTCTTTTTTTTTTTTTCCCCTCTTTTTCTCCCCAAAGCCCCAGTAGATAGTTGCATGTCATAGCTGCACATCCTTCTAGTTGCTCTATGTGAGATGCCACCTCAGCACGGCCTGATGAGCGGTGCATTGGTGCGCACCCCGGATCTGAATCCAGGCCACCAGTAGCGGAGCGAGCGCACTCAACAGCCAAGCCACAGGGCCAGGCCCTGATATTTCTAATACAGTTTACTTACATAAGTCAACTAGCACTTAAAATTTGTAAAAAGATACAGATAGGTTTGATAAATGTAACTGTTCTTCTCAATATTATATATCAGCATTCTATAATTAACTGATGGCTGAACAATGGTAAGAAACAAATTTGCATAAGTTATGTTCATTTTCCTTTAAAAAGCTTGGAAAATATAGAAAAAATGATGAAAAATGTATAAATTTCTTAAATTATTATATTCTCCCTGTCTCCCCTCCCCCCACCACTGTAGTAAGCTTGAAGAAAACAGAAAAACAAAATTTTTTAAGAGGAAATTTAAAATCATCTAGAACTGTTATGGCATATTACTTACTTTTTTTAATGTTGTGTTTTATTTGAAAATATGGGTTTTTTCTGGTTGTGTAATCGTGAAAATATACAAAACTCAAGGACAAAATTTAATCAACTTTCCACTTCCTCCCAGCAAACACACAAAAAATCATTTGAAAGAGAATTCAGTGAAGTCATTGACCAATGTTTAACTGAAGGATAAGTCAGACTCCCAGACATATTCATTTAGATTGCTATTTCCTCTATCCAGTACTCCTACACCGTCTTCCACTTTGTAAGTGCTGGGAAAGCAACAAGTACCAGATGACAAGACACTAAGGGTAATTTCCAAACCAAACGAATGAGTTCAAGCCCTATCCCTATGCCTGAAGGCCGACTCAGTGGTGGCTGACTTGAGCTATTTACTTTCACATTCTCATTTCATCTACCACAAGGGAATCTTTTTTTATTCTCACTTCTAATTTATCTCAACCTCCTATATTTTATATATGTTTAAAATTACCTTAAATTTATCTTTGCAACCAGAGTATAAACAGGTGGATAGATATAGAGAGTAGAAGAATTAAAAAAAAAAAAGTAGATAGATATCCTGAAAGAAAATGATTATTGTTTTCAGTATTTTACTTCACTACTTGAAAAATGTAAGCATTTTATTAATCAGGTTGAACACAGAGCACAAGCAATAATCTACAAAATGCAGTGCATTATTGAGCCCAATTCACATCACCCTTGAAGAAGCAATGCATAAATGTGTACTTGCCAGAAGTAGTGATGAATAAATGAAAAGCAATAAGAAAATTGAAGAAAATGAAGAAAAATGAAAAGCAATAATATATATTGGGGTATATGAGGAAGCCATTTGGTTTAAAACTAATTCGGCCTGACCTTGTTTCTCCCGAAAGGTCTGACATGGCCTGTCCAGCATGCATTGTACATCTGCTTTAAACATTTACAATATCCCAAAGCAAAGAACGATGCCTTTAAAAAGAGGGACATATGTCTCCCTCCATATCAGCATTTGCTTAAAGATAAGAATTTCTTCCGAGAAACTAAAGGTCAAACTGACCTACCGTGCTCATCTTGTGACCACTGACATGCTGTGCTAGCAAAACTTCTTGTTACTGTAGTAAAAAGACATATTCCTTTCATACATAATGTATGCTCCTTGTTCTAAGAAGATATATAACCATGCTCTACCCCTTGCTTCTTTGGAGTGCTTCATTCCTTGGTGAAGGTGCTCTCCTGGGCTACATAGTCCTCAGACTGACTTACATAATAAACTCACCCCAGTTTTGACTTATAGATTAATTATTGATTATTTGCATCAACAGTACCATTACTCAAAGATGGAGAATAAAAGGAAGAAAAGGAAAAACTTACAAGACATCAAGACTTAACATGCCCCTTGCCCACCCAAAGAGGACTACAACTCTCAGAGCACACACCTGGTCCATATCCTCCCCTTGGGTCTTGCAGCCAAATCAGGGGAAATACTCTAAATTGGGTCTCTATGTTTTGTAATGGGAGCTTTTCTATTCCTCCCCTAATACTTGTACTCAAACAGAAACCACTGCCCTGGACTGGCTGCTAGCATTTCAAGACCTGGGACATCTGGTCAAGCTGCTATCTCCAAGGAAAATGCATAAAGGGATGCTGTGACCGTGTGGTAGCCTCAAGTTGTGGTCACAGATTAAAATACACCATGGTCTCCAGAAAACCCAACAGCCATCATGAAAGGCAGCTGTTCCCTCCTCTACTTATGTTCATGTGAACATGTGCGTATTTGTGTACTGACACCATACTGCTAATCACCTCCTGCCTCGTGTATGGTGCTTGGAAAGAGCCCTTATCCAAGGTAGTAATCCATTTTATGGAATGTGTTATCTACAACTCAAAGGAGAACACTGGTACCATGACAATATTCCATCCTACAAAGTAAAAATATTTTGTTGTAGTTGCTGCATTTTATACTTGTTTCAAGATGATTTTCCATCTTGATCCCCTCATGATTTTCCCTCACCAAAATAAGTATTTCATATACAGTATATAATATTTCTTTTAACAAATTAGATAAAATAGAACATGTTAAAAGTGAGATACCATTTGAAAGTCAAATGGAATTCAAATTGTTAGATGCACTCCTATTAAAGACTATTTAATTAGACTATAGAATATGATGATTCAGATTTATGTCTGTATTGAAAATTTTGGTTTAGTTTAGTCTTAGTTTAACTCAGACACTTTTATCATCTGGAATCATGTTGAAAACACAAAAGTAAAACAAGAATAAATATTTTTTTTACCATGGGAAAAACTACACGTGACAGCAGCTGCCATCTTCTGAGGACATGTCCCACCCTGCCAGATGTCTTTTTCACAAAGCAGTATATTTTCTTCATCTCCTCGGCAACGGACATTGCTCCAATAAATGGGAATAAGGCCCAGTCCAGAAAACGGGGTTTGTTTTGCTATTCCTTTTCCTCTGGAAGTATAATGATTGATGTTAGGTTTATCAATTATAGGCAAATTTTTTATCAAAGCATTTGGATTTTTTTAAATGGAAGAAATTAATAAAGACAGATGTGGAAGAAAAAAACATAATTGATTACATCAGTTTCAAGGAATATCAAAACATCAGATCAGAACTTGGGTTGATTACCTATGGCAATCTTTTTAATCAATCTTGAATAACCAATGGTATGCGTGTGCCTTTACTATCTATCTATGGCTGATTTTAGAAGAAAATGGGCAGACGCTATAGATATACAAAGGGAGCCTGGGCGGCTTTGTGGAAGAAGTGTGTCATGTGGCCCAAGTGAGACTTGGATTCTAGTCTGGACTCAGCTGCAAAGCACTCTAAGCTGGACGGCTCTCTAAGCTCCACCTTCTGATGTCTAAAAGGAGAAGTCTGGATGCCTGAAGATTCTTTCCTACTCCAATATTTTAGTCTAGCATTTTCAAAATGATTGCTATTACTATATCTAAGCAAGATAACATCAAGAGAGGCAATCCATTCACATTTTTAAAACCATATATATAGTATTTGCCAGCAAGACTTTGAAACCAATTAATAAAATAGTAACATGCAGACGGGCTCTGCTTTTAACTCCTCTAATCTACATATTTTTACAAGTAACCTCTGATATATACAAATTGATATTAAATTTTAAAAAGATTAAATGCTCATTTGATTAACATAGTAATCTCTAGAATTGTCTCCGTGCAACAGCTTCCATCAACCAAACAGTAAATATTTGGGGTATATCTAAAATACGAACGTGTCTTAACAGCAATAAAGCTGGGCTGCGCTGCTCTTATTGTGCAATTCTTTTTTTAAAAAAATGGACCACTGGGCCGGCCCGGTGGCGCAAGCGGTTAAGTGCGCACGTTCCGCTGCGGCGGCCCGGGGTTCGCCGGTTCGGATCCCGGGCGCGCACCGATGCACCGCTTGTTAAGCCATGCTGTGGCGGCGTCCCATATAAAGTGGAGGAAGATGGGCATGGATGTTAGCCCAGGGCCAGTCTTCCTCAGCAAAAAAGAGGAGGATCGGCATTGGATGTTAGCTCAGGGCTGGTCCTCCTCACAAAAAAAAAAAAATGGACTACTAAGAGATGATATATATAAGCAATTGGATCGGCTTATCTGAAGTTTATGTCTGTGGAATGATCGTTTACATTCTTTCATCAATCGAAAGACTAGTAACCACATTGCAGTTCACATCTCCGCTATAGCGTTCTTGTTTCTTTATGTCAGTGTCTCATAGGAAATTTGATTCTTCCCTAATTTTCAGGGGTATTAGAAGCACATGTAGCTATGTATATAAAGGAAGACACTGACACCAGCCTACAAATGTTACATCTTCAGGCCCTCAAATGAAAGTCAATATTCTTTGTGACCTGCCCACCTGCCAATGACTGTTTGCCAGACAAAATACTCATTGATAAAATCAGTAATTAACATTCCTATGCGCCGGCCCCCTGGCTTATGGGTTAAGTGATCGCACTCCGATGCTGGCGGCCCGGTTCGGATCCTGGGCGCGCACCGACGCACCACTTGTCCGGCCATGCTGAGGCCACGTCCCACATACAGCAACTAGAAGGATGTGCAACTATGACATACAACTATTTACTGGGGCTTTGGGGGAAAAATAAATAAATAAATAAAATTAAAAAAAAAAAATTCCTAAACATTATAACACTTTATAAGCTCTAGCCTTACTCTTTCTTTCATCCTGATTTATACCAATGCTCACTTTTTAAAATTAGTTCATTGATTAAGTACATTAACCCTATTTGCTGCTGTAATAGCATCAAAAGTCTGAACAAAACTTAAGCCTTCAAGGTCTGCCTTTACTAAATTCTCATTCCCCATCTTCCTAGTGGGAAGACAGGAGGAAGCTGGCAAATTAAAATTCTTACTGATTTAACTGGAGTTGACTAACTTTTTCATTCATATCACCGTATTAGATATTACCACTCACTAAATACTAATCCAAAATATTTGTAAATTGCAAACCTTTCTTTGAGTCTTCTAGACCTGCATTTTTCATAACAAGATATTTTCCATGCTTTCTAAAGATCTCTGGTGATAAACGCCAAGAAAAACACATGGCATGGTACTTAGAAAAAAATAAATGAGACACAAAAACAGAACAACAAGAATAAAAACAAAACCAAAAGCTTTTGTTCCAAAATGGAGCCTTCTGCTCCTGGTGAACCCCATTGGCACAAGGCATAGAGGTGCTGGCCCTGGTGGAAGTCAGTGTACGCTGACCCGTTTTAAAGACAGGGCTTAGGGTGGTGGAGGAACCAGCAGCTACCAGGACGACCGACGCTGCTGGGCTGACGGAAGCTGCGGTTCCTCACAAGACCTCTTCAGCGCAGAGGAGGCCCAAGGACATCTCCCCTTACCCATCGTGAGATAAGAGCACAGGTGAACATCACCTCCTTCAGACGTACGCAAATGGAATTTGTGGGTGGCTAAAAGTTAAAAGCAAATGACAGCAACCTAGGGCTGCAGGCTACTGAGAAATTACAATTCTTAGAATCAAATCCCTTGCTTCCTAAGGCTAAAGAATTATTTTGTTAAAGACAAAGACCAAAAGATGCTTTTAACTTCTAACTACTTAGCATTTGCCCATTTCCTAGTCAGCAGGGGTGGTAATATGTGAAATACATTTGTATGTAAGAGAACTCATTCCTTCCATTTGGGGCCCTTTCTTTATAACTCTTTTGAGAAAAGTGAGAAAGAGGAAAGCAAAAACGAGGAAAGAAGATGTAACTTTTCCTCAGTAATGATGGGTGCCCATCATTATGCTCAGATATCAGCAAACTGATTTGGTTTGGCCAACTCACCCCAGCTGCAGCTGGTGACAAATGACTGACGCATCAGAATCATCCCAGTGGCTGCTACAGACTGTGCCCCAAACTCCATTTGCATATACTTCCACTGTGCCTTCAAACTCATTTTTGCCACCTCGAAGTCGTACTGACCCTAAAGTGGAAAAGAATCCCAAAATCCTTTAATAGCAAAGAATCGTTTGCGCATACTGAACCAGTCATCGGTTAACACGATTTTTCCACTGAAGTGCTGAGAGATCCAGTCAGGATGATTTGGATCATTCTGTTCACAGCATGTGCTCCTTTCTTTAAATAAGGATCTAGCAGGCTCTTTTTTTTTTTTTTTTTTTTTTGGTAATTAACATCTTGATGTCAATGCTAATTATATTTTCTTTTTTTTATCTAGGCAAACAGAAAGTCCAATTATAATTTTAAAAGGGGGAAAGTGGAAGAGTATGACTGATGCCTGATATTGATCCCAAGTATTAGATTACATCACATATAAAGTTCTTATCACTTATGTATCTCCTTCCATCTTCACATGAGGTCACAGGCAGGAAACACAGAAACAAAATTCAATGCTCTGCTTATAAATTAGCTGTTATTGGCTGTTATATTTTTCTTCTATCTGATTTGTTCACCTACTAAAGAAGAGGAAAATGCTTTTTCCTCTTTTAACCTCAAGCAGCAGTCATGAAAATTCTAAAGATTATGTCCATAATTTCAAAAAGGTGTTACTGTTGAAAACACCTAACGTGAGTCTTAGGAAATTGCCACTAAGTAGAATGGTTTGGTGTAATTGAATGACCGTGGCAATTCGCCTTCCCTTACATACCATCCCTACTTAGCTGCTCCATAGTCCACAATTTGAGTCATTCTTTCCAGTCTTTAAAAAAGCCAAAATTTAAATTTAAACACCCCTGGGAAAAATAACATTTTAAGTCTTATCCCTTAAGTGGGGATTAAGGCCCTACATTTCTCTTCTCATTGGCACTGGTTTGCAGAGTGGATACTGGGAGGCAGCAATTGAGACACTTAAGAAGAGATAGAATCAAACTCAGATAACTTAAGAACGTCACAAAATTCTGTTAAAAGTCACTTAGCCTTTATTTCGTAAGTAAAGAAATTAAATCCTACCAAAAAATTCTGGCATATTTTGCATACTTCAAAGTTATTATGTATGATTTTAAAATAATTTTCCAAAAATATTAGATTCACAAAGTATCCACTCATTTCTTTTGCACTGGCCTAGTCATCTACCACTATTATTTTCCACATCATCATCCTTAAAAAATGCAACTATTTAAGAAAAACATATCCTATCTCTCATGACAAATACAAAGTATCATTTAATTCAAACAAAAGGCAATAATAAATGGAGGCAAAACATTGCACTGTCAAATCTTGATTACTCAGGAGAGAACACGGGCATGGGTAGATAATCTAAAAATCATTCATACATTCTAAACCTCTTTAATTTGGACTGAGCAAGAGGAAGCCCTGTCTAGCTCAGTGAAAAGTGTAAAGTACAGAACATTTTTAAAGAAATATGTCTGAAGAGTTTAACTGAACTTTCACGATTTTTTTAATCACAAAATTTCTTCTATAGAGACCCACATAATATTATGCATATCACAAACGCCAGCAATTTATTTCAAAGAATTCATTTGTTCACCTCAAACAAACATTATTTGAAATTATTTTTAAATTAATCTATTATGTCTTTTTAATTCTGCCCTTCCACTAAATTACTTATGTCAAGGCTTGGAAGAAAGTTCTAGTAATGAAAACAAACTGGAACACTACTTATGCATGTTAAATAATCACAATAACATAAAATATTGCCTAAATCGCCAAAAAGCTGTCAAGAAGAAATGATGCATGCATATCATCTAAATTATTAAGACATTTAGAGATGAGAAAGAGAAAACTCTGCATAAAGTATAATTATTCCCATAACATCATTATAATGGCAATGATAGAGCTGGAAGCAGTTTCCAGGTCAACTATCAGTTCCACCAGCATTTCTCAGATGCTCCAAGCACGCTGTGAAAGCCTGGATTCATTTAGCTGTATCTGCTATATGGCAGGAAATCTGGAGTGCTCATCCAATTTTCCTTTAACAAATGAACACAAATATTTGCAATTCTGGAAAGGCAATTTGCATGTCAATGACTAGTGAATTCTCTGTCTGAGTCCACTCCCAACACCAACATACCCAAGGCACACACCTTCCTAGCAGATAAACCCCTCCACAAGGTTTATCCTTTCCTTAAGGCCACAGAAATTTCTAAAATATTCTGAGAAATCATCCACCATAGACTCAGAGTGAGTATTTCTTAATGGTATATAATTCAGTGAAGTTCACAATTCTTCTAATAATTATTTGAAAGACGTTTTTTAAAAAAATCAGCATATCAATATGCTCCAAATAATAAAAGTCTGAACACATTTACACTATATACATTAAAGATAAGTAGCAGTTTTTGCTTGTTTTTGGTTATACTTTGTTCTTGTGGCATTTATTCTCTTAGAATGGTCAAGATCTTAAAAATTGTAACTATTTCCCTCAGTTTATGGATGAGGAAGCTATGGAACAAAGCAACTGAGCAGCTGCCGAGCCATGACCACTCTCTCCGAGACTCCTGCCCTTGCTACTGTCCCCTTGTCTCTGAACCGGAGAAAAGATCCTGTGATATAATGAGTATTACTTTATGTATTATGCCATGTTGGCTTTCACCATTCTATTTGAAATATTGCAACTAATCCACCAAACAGGCAGAAGCATAAGACAGCCTGAAGAGTCTCCCTACACTGCAAAACAGGAGAGAAGTGGCTTTCTGATGATCTGCATTGGAGGCTGATCCCTCAGTGGAGGGTGATTTGTTCCACTGGCTATACAAATCTGTAGGAGGACTATATATGTTCACAAATTTATAGGTGCACGATTACAAAGTAGAGAAGGAGAAATATCCAAGCTCAATGAAAAAAAAAAGGATGGAACAATAAAGCCATCCACAAAGGTCAAAGCCTGGTAAACTCATTTCTATTGCTACCCTACTAACAACAAAGTTCTCCAAATTAATTCTAGACCAAATTCTTTGTTTGGCAAATATTGCTCATTGTCACAATCTTTTATTATCAAAAATTGATCCCGAGGCCAGCCCCGGTGGCCCGGTGGTTAAGTTCAGCATGCTCCGCTTTGGTGGCCCAGGTTTGGTTCCCCAGGCATGGACCTACACCACTCGTCTGTCAGTGGCCATGCTGTCGCGGCGGCTCACATACAAAAAAGAGGAAGATTGGCAGCAGATGTCAGCTTAGGGCAAATCTTCCTCAGCAAAAAAAAAAAAAAATTGATCCCCCTCTCCTTTGTTCACACTCTCCTACTCCAGCCAAGCACTCTGCGATGCTTTTCATAGTCTCAGCTAATGTCTCTGGACAACACCCCAGTGGATCCAGGGCTGCACTATCTTAAAGTCTTTCAAGTGCCAATTTGATGGAAATGATTCCATTCTGAATATTCCTATTTTTAAAATGCGTTAATAATAATGATTTAAAATTTGAAGTCTCAGAGGTTTTAGGTCAACTCTAATAGGCATTACAAATTTAGAGACCAAACCAATAACAGAAGAAAGTCTGGAACTGTAAGGTTGTGCATGATGGCATGTCACAGAGAAGAGCCTGCAGAGTTCATGAAATGAATTGTTGCAAAAAAAACCCAGTCAACTGTCTGCTGGTACTACAACTACCTTAAAGGCAAAATGCGCCAATGTGCAACAATGTTCGGAAGTCTACTATCTCATTTCCCTGCCAAAAATGTTGAATTTGTCATTTTAGTTTACCATTATTTTTCGTCTCTAGATATGTCTCCAGTTTTATAAAGGAAAGGGAGCATAAAAGATTCATGTTACAGAAGTTTGTTTTATGGACACTTTGCTAAAAAACAGGAATTCCCAAAATAGAGAGACACTCAAGAAGGACTCTTTTTAACCATTTTATCAGTCTCAATCAATACAAGGTAATCTAGAGGAGAATAGATGACTAGCTTAAAATTCCCTTCACAAGTCTCACTGGTTTTTCAGTTTTTAAGGCTATCGTAATGGGTTGAATTCTGTCCCCCCAAAAGATGTTGAAGTGCTATCCCCTAGGACCCTTGAATGTGACCTTATTTGGAAGCAAGGTCTTCGTAGACGACCAAGTTAAGATGAGGTCACTAGGGTGGGCTCTAATCCAGTGTGACTGTGTTCTTATAAAAAGAATAAATGTGGACACAGAGGCATGCACAGAGGGACCACACCATCTGAAGACTGCAGTTACACTCCCACAAGCCAAGGAACTATCAGAAGCTAGGAGAGAGCTGGAACAGATCCTTCCCTAGCGCCTTCAGAGGAAGCGTGGCCCTGCTGACACCTTGATCTTGGACTTCTAGTCTCCAGAACTGGGGAACAATAATTTCTGTTGTTTAAGCCATTCAGTTAGTGGGACTTGTTACAGCAGTCCTAGCAAACTAACGGAGCCGTTGTGGCATTAATGGCCTTAATCCAAGCCCTTCTTGGACAGCTAGCAAAACCTCCCTTCCCACACTCCACATTTCAAGGAGGCCTACAAGAAATATTAAGAAAGGAACCAAATAGGTCAGCTATCTTTGTTCTGTAAATCCAGCCCATTCCAAAATAATCCAAATGAAAAGATATGACTATTTAGTTAACAATTAAAATTTACTTATAGAATAGCATTTATTCGTTTTAAGAGAAAGAAACAACAGCAAAAACAAAGACCCATCCCAGTAGTGTTTTCTGAATAGAATTAATAAATATTTTTAAAATCACAGTTTGATAAATGAGTAAAAAGAAATTAATGTATTCATACAAATCCTTTCTCCTCTATTATTGAACTTCACAGAGGCACAAAATAATTAATTTTAGTCACTTCTATTGTTCTGTTGGAATCAGATAGAATGCACGCTGGTGACATCAAGCTATTGCCTCAGATCCTTGACAAAAAGTATACTTAAAGCTGAAAGTGATATAGAAATTTCAGTTTATGAACTATTCAAAAGAATAGAAAAAAGCCCATTACATGTTGGACAATTTAGCACACATATTTGACAAATGAATTAAACATAATCTTATCTCTTATATGAAAGGCAACACT